TGCACAGACACACAGACATCATCACAAAGTACGTGTCTTAACCAGGTTAGCTGTCAGTTAAACCACAAACCTACCGATCTACTTGCTTAGTGTAATAATTAATGTTATAACACGATGCAAAAGATACATCTGTAATTTTCTCAATTATGCCTCTACCTAATTGATTTTTAATTAAAAGCGCGATCCGTAACGCATCCATTTGATGCATTTAAAATTGGAGAAAACTGCAGTAATGTTTTGCAAAATATAAGGGCATCAGGTGGATCCAGAAAAAGGATTCCGCAAGTGTCAGAAAACAAGGGACTAATAGTCGAAATTTAGTCAGAATTAACGAAGAAAATTCCTAACATATAAATGCTAATCCCAATGGGTTTTGAAGATGAGCATCAATAAAAGCATCTCGTGGATCTAGAAAGAAGGATTCTGCAGATAACAAAAAACAAGGGATCAACAGCTGAAATTTAGCCAGAATTAAAAAAAAATTCTTGCCACATAAATGCTAATCCCAAAGGCTGTTCAATATAACCATCAATAACGACATCAGTTGGATCTGGAAAAAGGATTCAGCAGGTGTCAGAAAACAAGACATCAACAGCAAATTTAGTCAGAACTAAAGAAAAAACTTTCTGACATATAAATGCTAACTCCAAGGGGTGTTCAAGATGAGCATCAGATTTCCATAAGCTATAAGAATTCCAGAAATATGAGCTTCAATCGAGAGAAGTTCTTTTATAATTTGTTCATCTGTTTTAGAGTCACTATGTCACACGTATAATCATCATAAAGACTTCAACTCGAAGACTAGTTAGACACGCACTTCCACATGTTTTAATAGAGTCAATCTTCGCATTTCTTAAAAACTAGAACAGTCTAGACCTCTAATCTAACTTGTTTCTGCTTCTAATATGTCTCTAACTAGCCCTTCATGTCTAAGAAGGTGTCCTACTAACCTTTTTCGTCTTCCATAACGCCACTTGGTTCATGAGCATCATTTTGGCAATTATATACAGAATAAGGGTGGTGCTGGTTGGGGTGAAAAAGTTGAGATGGACAAAAAGAAGACAAAGAAGATGGAAAGATTATCTGTGGGATATTACTTTCCCAGCATTTGCTTAAGTTATCCAAGGAAACGGCAAAGAAAATGGACCAGGGCAGATGGACACCATTTCTCGAAAAGTAGAGCAACCTATATCTCTAACTATAATAATAATAATAATAATAATAAATATTCTTTTCTAGATCTATCTCTATCCCTCTTAACTCCTGTTTCTACTTCTAGTTACTCCTTCACCTGTGAGATTTCGCCTATTTCTTATTGACTTCTGTAGTGTCCATCGTCGACACTGAGTCATGCTCCAAACATACACTCGTTTATGTTAAGGGTTGCTAATACTGTTACTACTATATTATTACAAAAACAGCAATGACATCATTCTACAGCTTGTAAACAATAAAAATCATATTCAGCGTAATCTGACTTCAATCCCAATCAACAAAAAAGAGAATAAAAGGATTAACCTAATTGGTTCGTCCAATCTAATACCGAAATACAAATGTCTTTTTTTTTCCATTGCCATTTTGAACAACAAACAAAACAACTAACGAAATAAAAGACGACTGGCTTGAAGATAATAATAATAAAAAACTATGCATTATAAGATAAAGTGTAATTTAGTGTGTTTGTGTAGAAGCACCTCATTATATAAAGAAGTAAAGCTGTTGAAGAACAAGATTAAATTTTATGACCACTTCACTCGGTGCCTGTAAGTATGAGAAGTATTTTTTGTACGCAGTAATGACAGGGCTAAATTTGAAACAGCAATTTGATGAATAGCACCAAAAATTATTTGTGTAGATGAAGATGGCGAAGAGTAAATTATAATGGCAATAATAGTTCAAAAGTCAAAAAGAACAAAAACTGACATTAAGTATTGCAGAGCCACTCTAGGAAGAACGAGTTTTACCATTAAGGGTCTTTTTTTGTAATATTTACAAAACTTTTCGTCTTTGCCCTACCTTTTCTTTCATATTTCACCATGCAACGGAAGTTATGTGTCCATCATGCGACAGAAGTTGCGCGCGCACAGGTAACAAAATTTTAACAGTATGAAGTTAGCAGCATTAGATCGAAGCTGCTAGTTGATTGAAGGAGCATCCCGGTTATAAGGGGAAGCACTTCACGATAATACTATTCAAATATGTATTACTTTAAATAAAAAAGTACGCGATTTATAATAAACAAACTTTTAGAAAATCGTAAAAGCGACCTTTCCATATGTTTAAGTTCTCATTACTTTACGTGTTTCAAATCGATAGCAATTGTTAGATAATCTACCATAACCTGCAGGACAACAGACTAGTCTCATCAATAACTTTTCATCCTTCTATTTTGCTAAAATTTTAGTTTTATAAGTTTCCATAACAGATTTTTGTTAATGATGTATGCATATGAAGTTCAATTTATATCTAAATTTAACTTTTCGAAAATTCAATTTAAATTTTTGAAGTTTTCTTTACTCTTCTGTTTTCTCTGTTCTTATCGATTTTAAAATTATAGTTTTTCTGTATATATCGTGTCTGTAACTGACTTTTCATAGAAACATTAAAATATCTTGTAAATCATAAACCATTAAAATGTTTTTCCGCTTATTAAACATCTTTTGCATATATTATACAGTACTTCATATATTATCAATAAATTAATAGGCAATTATTATAATTTATAAACAACCTACAACGCTTAAGCTAACTTTGTTACATGAAAATCACTGATAATCACTATAATACATTGTTTAAAAAAGTTTAATATTCTGTTGTTTTTACATCAGAACCGTTCTGTACAAGCCATAGACCATTACGTGTATGTTTTCCGTTATAAATAAACCACCCTGTATTTAAATAAATAAGCAATTATTAAAATTCATTATTAACGTGCTTTCTAACCTGAAATCGTTTAAAAATTAATAATTAATGTAATATATCTGCAATTATTAATAAAGACTGTGAGATTGGGAACTTTGATATATTTGAATTCGAATTTCTGCAGCATGACAAAAAACATAAATATGTGTAGTTATGGTGGATTGAGTAAAAAGGGCACTGGAACAGTGACGAGTTCAAATAATTACCTGGTATTTATCAGAATACCGTTTCAAGAGTTGGTAGAAATATCTACGTATGCACATATATGCACACACAACACAAACAGCGTTCCACTGTTTTATCATTAATTAATTATTTGTTGCAATCTAGTGTACTGTATCATAGCAATATTTTGAAATATGGGGAAAAACCAACTGAGTAACATTGTTCGTGTTTATAGAGAAAGTCGCGTGTTTTTATAAAATATGTAAAAGTAATACCGTAGCATACCGTGTTCTCCATAGGTATCATGGAAATTTAGAATTTTCAATTTAAAATGTTCAACGACATCTAGCAATCTGATGTCAAACGACATTTAAGAAATACATCACGACTTCGGTAGATGGCAGGGAGAGCTAATGCTAGCGGAATGCAATAGGAACTAAATTTTAACCTAAAAAACAACTCTTTAATGTTATTTCTAAAAAAGGGCCTTCCACCATATCTTTGGAGTAGTCCAAATGGACTCGCCGCCCACCACCATTAGTAGGTGGTGGGAGCGAAACACCCAAAAGTTTTTAAATAGGTTGAACGTTTATTTAAACCATTTAAGTAATAAAATACAGACCGCAAATCTATTTAAATACTGATCTTATTACAAGGATGTCGTAGTAACTCTGATGGCATTTATAAAAAAGTAGAGCAGATTAATGTACTTACAAATTAGATGCTAATGAACTTAATAAAGTTATCTTAAAATATACTATTATATAAACAAACCCTGAATTTTATTGCATGAGATGAGTGATAAATAGATTTCGTAGTTTTACCTAGCGATAAGAACTGGGTACACATACGTTAAAATGTGTTGCAAAATAATAACAAATGCTGATAATGGGTCGTCTTTGACAAGAATTTATTGTCAATATTGTTTCTAACTCACACCTTCTTCGTCAAATGACACACCAATTTATCACAATAGGATGAATATCATGAGAATAGTTGACTTAAGCAATACTACACTTACCTTGTTTGTCTAAATGCGTTTAATAATAAATGAGAATGTATCTAAAATTGTTACAAAATTTAGAATAAAAAACCAACTTTTACATATAATACATAGATACATACCTACATTAATGGGGGTAATATAGTTTTAATTTAATTCATTATTTTGAGTTCAAAAATGAGTAGTCATGAACCATTTTTTTAAACACGTCTTGTAAACTTGGTCACTGATGAAGGCAATTGTAAGGGTCGCTTACAAATATATTTTTTAAATGTTTAATTGGGTTATCTACAAATATTTTTTTACAGAAATGCGAATTAAAATCATATCTGCCTTCTGTTTCTAGAGTATACCTAACATTTATGAGAAAATCACAGCGAATTTGGAACCTCAGGTCGATTTATTCTTTTTTTAATTTTTTCATATACAATGTTGTTGCTGTTGTCACTTCTCGTACCATAACGATTACCGCATTGGTCCCGGGTTCGATTCCCGGCGAGGGTGTGACAACAGCAACAAATTTTTCCTCATCAATTTGAGGTAAATTATAGTGGATTAAAATTGAGAATGATTTTTCAATTTAATAATTAATATTTCAATGTGTTTCATATACAATACACCCTTCTGTATATAAAAGGCTTTAACGTTAAGAATGCACTAGTCCGTCTCTGTCACCTCTGACCAGAAAATTCAACAGATAACCGTTTTAACCGTTATGACAACTTCGGGTTTCTCGCTTAACGTCACGTTGATATCTCCAGCGTGTTCCTTCAATTAACCACCGTTCCGAAGGGTGATAAGCTTGTAGCTGTGACTGACAAGAGGAGGAAGCTTGACTACGACCATGTCCGGCCCATGTCATGATAATATCGTAGAATGTGGGTCGTAGTCAGGTGAAAATCTTCTACCTGCTCCAAGCCGAGACTCTTTATAGTCAGTCGTACTCGTGATTCAACGACGAGCGCGGGCAAAGAAGTGAATACAAACGCGGCCTGCTGCGATAACTGCGAGGCCCATAGTGAATAAGGGTAACGGGGGTGCACCTGAGTTAATTTGTCATACTTTTTTTTTTAATTGGTCGACAGAGATGGGATTTATAAAGGTAACTTAATTGTTATATGAATTTTTTTAATAATTCTTACAGGATAAAAAGTAAATTAGTTATTATGACCATTTTTGGAAATGAATATTCTAAAATAATTCATTGGCTTAATGGTAATATCGCTTATAGGCTTTCACGGTCAAAGTCGATAACATTTTGTCCTTATTGATTTAAGGTTTTAATTATTTGCATCCAAATAATATTGTTAAATCAATCTTAGAAACTTTAAACATCTATTTTAGTATTAGAAAATCATAAATAACCTTTATGTGTAACGATTTAGTCTATTCAAACACTATTAAACTAAAATTAAAAAAAAAGCATAGTTCTATTTAAACTATAAGAAAAATTTTATGATTGGTTGTTGCTGCAATTGATATTTATTTTATTAGTGATATGTAAAACATTTTGTCAAAACACATACCGTTTCGAAGTTTTACTACTAATTTTAGTAATTTTAGTTTGATGTTGATTGAGTAAACCAAAACGTTACACAAAAACATTGTTTAAAATTTTGTGACCGCAACCCTGGAAAGAAGCACTAAGATTGTCTACAGCATCAGATTTAGCAAAAGTGTAGAAAGTTGGACGCAAATTGACTTAGTGGGTATCTACAGTAGAAATAGCTGTATGTTTGACAAATTTGTTATTTATACTTGGTAGAGGTTAATATCTAATCATTTTTAATCATTAAAAAAATATTTCTATTGTAACACCTTCGCCGGGAATCGAACCCGCTACCTTTTATTGCTCTGCTACGAAAACAGCAACAATCACCTTAATGTTTAAAAATTGTTACTAACTGTAAAAATTAAGAAGAGAAATTACTGAAATTTTAATAATTTCACCAAATATGTTATAGATATACTTTCTATCTATTTATTATTTCTCGGTGAGAAGTGTATTGTCCTGAAACCTATTTAGAATATTAATTTCCATATGACATGTGTTAAATTGCAGTTGTTATTGAAACAGTTGTTATTATTATTAATAATAGTAATATCTAGTAGTGGTGTTAATAGTTGGGCGGCACTTTCTTTAAATAATAAAGATTAAAGATGAATTGAAATAGCGGATGCAAGAACGTAGAACGTCAGCTTGTTCGCAGAGCAGTTACTTTCACTTTTGATTACAAATTCACACAGTTATGAGCGAAAGTACATAAGTACTGGCTAAATACTTGGACACTAAGAGTATACATTTAGCATTCTCAAACAAATCCGCATCTTCATTTGTAAATTAAATTGTTAACACGGTCGTAACTTTAGAAATTTAAATAAAAACAAATTAAGTACAAATTAACAATCACGAATTTGCATTTTAAATTTATACAAATGTATGTATGAAAATTTAGGTAAGCTTTTTGATATTGTGCTACTCAAAATTTGAATTTGTTGCACATTAACTTTTGATGGTATACGTGGCTCCAGCCGAATTATATTCATATCTCATGTGATTTAGTACAAGCGTAGACTATTGTACGAGGGTGGATTGATAAGTTTCCGGCCTAACCAAGAGATGACGCCACTAGGCCTACCTTGAGGTGACATTCTATAGTACCATCCTTGGATAGCTTGTAGCNCGGACAATGAAGAAGTAATCGAAGCTGTAAATGGTTATTTTGAGGAGCTTGACGAATCAGTCTATAGAGATGGCATTAATAGACTGGAACACCGCTATGAGAAATGTATCAGCCTTGGAGGAGATTATGTTGAGAAATAAAAAAAAAAAATTTTTAAAAACCTTGTTTTTCTTGGTCAGGCCGGAAACTTATCAATCCACCCTCGTATAGTGGATAATCAAAAAGTTCTCGATAAAGAAAACACTTGGGTGTTCCATTTCCACCAGATACTATAGCGCAAAGCCGAAAGGTAAGGTGGAATACTATCTTTAGTCTTCATTTATAAATGGTCCAAAAACTACTGGTTATATGCCGGACTTACCAAAGACTTTCTAGAGAAATGTAAATTCATGAAACAATACTTTATTGCGAATAGCTCTTCCAGCATAAAAGTTTGCCGATCTCTAGCCTAAATGTAAGTAAAAGTGATCAACAATTAGCAATAGAAAGCATGTACAGCAAACTATTGCTTTTAAATGAAACCTCTGGAAGATATGATCCATTTTTCAACGCATTATTATCGATAAATCAGATGATACGAGGGTGGATTGATAAGTTTCCGGCCTGACCCTAAAAAACAAGGTTTTTAAAAATTTTTTTTTTTTA